CCTGTCGGGATCTTGGGCACGCACGCACAACGCCCGGCGTGAGTTTTAAGCCACCGGGTCCGGGACGTGAACTGCAGTCGACTACGTAGAAGTCCAGCGACACAGCCATTACGTTAACTGCTGGTTCCCAAAATGAATAAGATTTCTAAAAGCCAGTCATAAAATAAAAATATTAACAGACATAAAAAAGACATATTACATTAAGAGAAACAAAGATGTAAAAATGATAGCACAGGGGCCAGCAGGCCACATGGTGATTAAGGTACTAGACTCCCACATGGCTGACTGCGGTTTGAGTCCCAGACCTGGCGGCTTGCTTTCTCACTTTCCCTCTCTCTCTGTCTCTCTCTTTGGTGAGCACACATACCCTATAGCAAATTAAAATAAATAATAATAAATAATTTTTTAAAAAAGAATGAGGGAACCAGCAGTTAGCGTAATGGCTATGTCGCTGGATTCCCACGTAGTCGACCGCGGTTCGTGTCCCGGACCCGGTGGCTTAAAACTCACGCCAGGCGCGTGTGCGTGCGTGCCCAAGATCCCGAGAGGAGAATGGAGGAGAAGGGATTGCGGCGTGACCATCCCCCCTGGGGGGTGATTTCTCGCTTTCTGTCTCTATGTCTCTCTCTGTCTGTCTGGTGAGCGCACGCACCCTACAGTGAAAATCTCTCCAAAAAAAAAAAGAAAGCCAGCATACTTCCTGTAAGAAACTATGTAAGCCAGATGACAATGAAGTGACTTATTTACACTAATGAAAGAAAACTACTGTAAACCTCAAATTCTTTTTATTAAGAATTATTTAATTTTATTTAGCATTATTATTATTTATTTTTATAGGACACATGCACTCACTAGAGAGAGACAGGGAGAAAAAGAAATGAGAAAACAAGATGCCAGGTCCTGGACTTGAACCTGTCAGCCATGTGGAAGTTCAGCACCTTAACCACCACACCACCTGCTGTCCCCAACCTCAAACTCTATACACAGTAAAAAAATCTTCTAAAAATAAAAATGAAAGAAACCTTTTAGACAAAACTTCATTTCCAGCAGATCTATACTAGAAGAAATGCCAAACAAAGTATCTTCAGCAGAAGTAAATGATACAAGATAGGACCTTATAATGATACAAAAGGATAAGAGCTTAGGACTGCTCAATATATGAATAAATATAAAATACATTTTTCTGATTTTTAAATCCTAGTAAAAGATAATTGACTATGTAAAGTAAAAATACATAGTAGCATTTATAACATGTATAAAATGTATTAAAAAAAAGAACTGAAGTATTTTTAAAAAAATTTTTAAAGTATTGCAAGGTTCTTAAACTATGCCTGAAATGACATGATATTGACTCGAGATATATACTAGGGTAAGATTAAAAACGGTTTCACTCGTAAACTTAACTGTGCTATCATCTAAACACATTTAAAAAGCACTGAATATAATTCAATTTACTCATAATATTTACTCATAATAAAAAAACACTTGGAAAACTAGATCCAAAAGAAAATGTCTTACAGCTATTAGGATGTCAGAAAAGTCATGACGTATTTTTTCCACGTTTTCCAAAGGTAATTTATTTATAAAAAGATCAATCAATGACATATTGCCCACTTTGTTCAATAAGTTGTTGCCATCTCTCAGTGAGCCTCACAGTTACTTGTTCACAGAAGGACCTGTCTTTCTCGACTGAACTGGTGCTGACTACAGCCTCTGAATCGAGTTATGAGTTTTCAAAAGAGCGAAACAAGTGGAAGTCTGACCCGTCCAAGCTGCAGTCACTGAGGGGTCATCTAACTCGTGTGGCCTCACGCCGTCCTGACGGAACACGACTCCGTTAGGGTTAGTGAGCCCTGCACGTTTCTGGACGTGGAATCGTCCCCACTGCTCAACTGCCGACGGCACACATCTGAACTGGCTGTCTGGGTTCTTGGCAGGAGCTCAGAGAACACGACGAATCCCTCCACACTGAGGGCATAACCTCCCTCTGACGAGCGTCTGCTCTCGATGTTGCTGGGGACAGCAATCACACCAGGACCAAGATCATCTGCGCACCACCACGTTGTAAACAATCCACTTCTCATCACCAGTTATCAGATGCTTTAACAAAGAAACCTTTCCTCACATTTAACGAGCGCACGGCAGAGGATTATACACGCCATCAAGCGAACTTCGAGTAAGGAGGAACCCAAACACCGAGCGTGCTTACGTATCCAGCTTCCTCAGGCGGTCGGGGACACTTGAATGATGGATATTCAATGTTTCTGTGATCTCTCGTGTGTGTAATGTGGGTCTGACTCCATTGACACCTTTATTTTGTCGTCATCAGCCTCCGTGGGTCACCCTGACCAAGGAGCATCACTGAGATCAAAGTCACCAGCACGAAGTTCATGAACCCCTCTGGCCCTGATGTTCTTGTAGACACTCATCACCATTAACTTAACACAACTTTTCACAAGCTTGGTGCACATTCTTCCCTTTATTGAAAAGTGAAATAAGGTGAAAGTGCAGCTTGGTCTTTCATCTTCAACTCGTAAAATCTCCAGAACTCGACCAAATTGCTTAATTTTTTATTTAGAATGAAGCTAGAACTGTCAGCTGTCAAACAACATAACAATACCATAGATGCAAATGACTCTAGCACTTCCAGAACTGAATTAGCACCATCTGTTGCAAAAATGCAGCATGTCTTTTCCAACAACCCAATACATCATGCAAAACTGGTGAAAGACTTACTGCTTTCTCTGTAAGATCAAGGCAAAGATATCTGTTCTCCATACTTCTAGCTGACATTTTACTGGAGAATCTAGCTAGAGAAATAAGGCAAAGAAATACACAGCAGACTGGAAAGAGAAAGTAAATCTAGGCCCGATGCTGCGGTGTGTGCCTACAATCCCAGCAACTTGGAAGGCTGAGGCAAGAGAACTGAGGCCATAGGCAGGTGCAGGGAGCATAATGAGACCCTGCCTAAAATAGAGCTGGGCATGGTGGCAAGTGCCTGTAGTCCCAGCTGGGAAACAGGCAGGGGAATTAAAACAGTAAGACCCTGTATTTGAGAAAAGTAAAACTATCTTTACTAACAGATGGCATGAACATACCTGTAGAATATCCTGAGAAATCTACATAAAAATCCAATAGAATTAACACATGGAGGAAGTAAGATCATGGCCACATACAAAAATCAAGTATGCTTCTACATACTAGCAATGAGCAACTGGAAATAGAAGTTACTAAAAAACAACTGTACTGGGACCAGCAGTTGGCATAATGGCTATGTTGCTGAACTCCCACGTAGTCAACCATGGTTTGAGTCCCGGACCTGGTGGCTTAAACTCACGCTGGTGCGAGTACATGCATGCCCAAGATCCCGAGAGGAGAATGGAGGATAAAGCATTGTGCCGTGGCCATCCCCGCTGGGGAGTGATTTCTCGCTTTCTCTATCTCTGGCGAGCGCACGCGCCCTATAGCAAAAACCTCTCCCAACCCCCCCACCCCCCAAAAAAGCTGTATCAAAAATATAAAATACTTAGGGACAAATTTAACAAGAAAAAGGTTTAATAAATACCTTTACTCTCAGATCTATAAGACATTGCTAATAGAAATTTAAGAATATCTAAATAAGCAGGTAGATATGAAAGTAATAAATACCTTTTTAAACAAATTATCTAATTTTATTTATTTATTTATTTATTTATTTTAATGTGGCCAGAGAAGGACAGAGTGAGTGGGGGGGAGGTGAGAAAACAAGTCACCAGGTCCGCCATGTGGGAGTCCAGCTCCCTCAACCACCACGCCACCTGCCAGCCCCAGTCATAAATACCTTTACTCTCAGATCTATAAAACGTTGCTAATATAAATTAAAGGACATCTAAACAAATGGACAGATATACCAGGCTCATTATGAACATGAAGATTAAAACTGTTAATTATCAAATTTTCTTCAAAATGATTTATAAACTCAATGCAACTCCACTGAAAATACAAAAAAAAAAAAAAACTGTTGAAATTGACAAGACAGCTCAAGTTTATATGAAAGCACAAAACAATTTTGAAAAAGATGAACAAAGTTGGGAGAACAAACATTAATTGATTTCAAGTCTTACTATAAAGCTACTACAACTGAGTTGATGTGTCACTGGCCAAAGAAATAAATAAAGATTCATGAAACTGAATAAGGTCCAATAAATAGAACACATATTTAGGGTCAACTGATTTGACAAAGCTGCCCAAGTAGTTTAATGAAAAACAAGTAATTTTTTCAACAAATTGCACTGGTACACAACTGTGTAGGTAAAAGCCCCAAAGGATCATTGACTATAAGCAAAAGTGATACTCAAAATGGAACATATGTCTAAGTGTAAGAACTTAAAGCACAAGGAAATAGGAAAAATCTTTGTGATTTTAGGTTGGGCAAAAGTTTCTTAGGATACACAGAAAAAAAACTCATGAAATGGGCTCCATCGAAATTAAATACACTTGCTCTTCAAAAGACATTGCAAAGAAAATGAAAAAGCAAGCCGTAAACTGTTAGGAAAAAATTAGCAAAATACAATTAATACTTGTACTCAAAACACATAGAAAGCTCTTACAGTTTAATAGAAAATAAAGACAATAAATAAATAATAACAATCTGAACGGACATTGACATAATGACCATACACGGATGGCACATAAGCACATAAATGTGCTTCGTCAGTGAGGAAACACAAATTAAAACTACAATGAGCTATCGCTACATGTCTGCTAGAATGGCTATCACTAGGAAGACTAATTACTGCCAAAAATTGTCAAGAATGTGGAGCAAATGGAATTCTTAATGAATTGTTGAAGAGAATGCAAGAATTGGGTAGCTTCTTGTAGTTAAACATAAGTTTACTATACAAACAATCCTTCTCATAGGTATTAGCCCAAGAATGGAAACAAATTTACACACAAAGATTTGTACACCAATGCTATAAAATCAGCGTTTTTCATGATAGCCAAAAAGTGGAAACAACCCCAATGTCCATCAACTGGCAAACAAGAAAAAAGCATATAATGGAATACTAATCAGTAATAAAAATAAACTAATATACACTCAATGATACAGATGAATTCCTAAAGAATAATATTCAGTGAAATAAGCCAGATACAAAAAGCGACATGCAAACAGTTCCAGAAAAGGCAACCCCTATAGGGTCAGAGAGTAGATCAGTGGTTACCTTGAGTAGCGGTGACAGAGTGTCCTGTACGTGACTGTGCATGGTTATACAATTAATGCATTTCTCAAAGTTTACTCAATTGTACAGTTTAAACTGTTTGATGTACTGTAAGTAAATTATATTATACCATAATATAGGTGTTTAAAATAAACCAAAAAAACCACAACTGAAAATCCACAAAAATCTCTCTCTTCCTCTAATTTAAAATGTTTTAGCAGACATTTTCACCAAAACACAACATGTAGCTACATAACCCCCAAATACTTACTTACCTACTGAAACCACAGGAAAGTAAAGTAATAACATTCTGAACATTTGAAACCATCCATACGAACTTGTTAGAGGATTTAGTTTTTAATTCCCTATCAACATGTTCTACCTTCCTACCTCTAGCTTGTCTTACGTTTTCAAATATAACCACTGAGTTGCAGAAATCAACTAACAATTAAAACTACTATTTCCAATTCAAAAATTATGAAGCAAAACCAATTTAAATTAAGACAATCTTTTTGTTATTTCTTTCAACAAAAAAAAGATTCTAAAGAAATACAAAAGCAAACATGAACTACCTAGCCGTGCCATTAGTGAATAATCTACTAGTTTTAAAATATCCCAGGATGCTAATAACTAGAAATACTTGCTCATGTCACAGGGGTACCAGCCTCAATGTATATCCAGCACAGAGGTCACAAAAACAAAAGTAGGACTGTCTATTTAAAACATCACACTGCATGTGCTATGACTCTTCTCTCTCCTACATCTACTTTTAGATACTCTACCTTTCCTGAGGACGGAGGAGAAGGACTAGCACAAGGACTTGGGTAACTATTGCTATCTGTAGATTTCACAGAAGATTGATCTGATCGGTCATCGGTGCCTCGTTTGGGATGTAAAATTCCTCTGTCTTTGTACTTCTGAGGTGGGTGTAATGCTGAAGACGGAGATTTCATCAACACTCTTAAATAAGGAGGAAGCACAAAATCAATTATATTTAAGCTTATAATACAGACCTCTTCAATCCAAAGTGTCAATGACATTATGATTTATGAATTAGTATTTTAAAAGAGAATTTCATTCTTCTGTTATATAGAAATTAAGGAATACTTGATCTTTAAGGGTACATTTAAAAAAACAACAGACAAAATACATTTTCTATAAAAATTTAAAAAGATACTAAGTTTAAGTAAAATAGACTCTAAAATCATACTAAAAATACAATGTGGTAAAGTGGGAAAAATATTTGACTAGAGGCAGGAAATACAGATTTCTAGGACAGTACCAAGTTTATAACTAATTAGGTATGATCATGAGTAAGCTGTTTATCTGACCTTTAATTTACTTATCTGTTAAATAAAACTATAGTATTACAGATAAACTCTAAGACTATTCTATTCTAAAATCCTAGTGGCATGGTGGTTAAGACAGCTGGATCCTACATGGCCAACTGACCACTGTTCAAGTTCCAGACTTGGTGCTTGAGAAACATGCTGGGACCTATGCTTGTGTGCCCAAAATCCTGAGAGGAAAAGGAAGACTGTGGTATGAACATCCTCCTTAGGGGATGATTTCTCTCTCTCTCTCTCTCTCTCTCTCTCTCTCTCTGGTGAGTGCATGCACCCTATAGCATATTTTTTTAAAAAGTATGGGTCTTCACGAGACAACTGGACATGAAGTACTTCTTGGTGTGCTGTGTTCACAACTTATCTAAAATATTCTTGTTGAAACAATGGCCTCAAGAGGTGAATACCAGTTTACCTGAAGTACACAGGGTATCAGCATAAACGACAACAGGAGGAGACAAAGAAACAAGCCCAGGATGTGAGGCTTCTCACAACACCACTCACCTGACTTCTTCAAAACAGTCACACACGAGACAAGGAACAGGACACCCTAAAATAATAAGTCTTCCTTAGATACTGACTCAAACCAAGAGTTTGAAAGAGCTGGGAAAGAGATCGCTGTGCTAGGACTAGCAACTGCCCTCCGCTATGGAGAGGGAAAATGCCCCTGTTCTTAAGAGATGCATATTTAAATACAGAACAGTAAGGAGAGCACGACGTGCGAGATTTACTTTATAATACGTAAGCAAGAACTAAAAGGAGACATGCAGGAAAAAAGATTTTGGTAGATGATCCAAGTAGGTAACAACTTAGGTAACTAATCCGGGCTATGGAGTGTGTTACTGTGTACCATTTACTTTTTTGTGTTTAAGATTAGTTATTGAGTCATGACCCAATATATTACATAAATTCAAAACAAAGAAGATACATCTTCAATAATTCATAAGCTTCCAGAGTCTTACAATTATAATTACTCTATTTTCAAGACAAGTTACAGTCATTCTTCCCCATAATTCACTTTTCTCTCAATAAATAAATTAAATCCATGATTCTTTCACAAATAAAATTACTAAAGTCTAATGATACTTAACAATAAAATAGGAGAGCACTGGGACCAGCTAGCAAAAGAGTGGTTAAGGCAGCCGGATCTCACAGGTCAACTTTACAGTTTGAGTTCCAGATCCAGCAGCTGAAAAAATCATGATAGTGCTGTCTCTTTTACGTTAGCTAGAAAAAAAAGGGGGTCATTTCAACTATTTTTTTAAGATTAGGAAACAAAAAGAAGTCAGAGAAGCCAAGTCATGGCATATGAAAACTATTAACTATAAATAACCTTTTCTCCAAGAAGTAATTTCACAAAGGTTACACCTTCTTCCTTTAAAACGGAATCTTCATAAGGGTCTTCATTCTGTTCCTTACCACGCTATATGAACTCTAGGCCACACTTACTAATACCACCAAAAGTCTGCAAGTGAATGAAACTCTATGCCCCATTGCTTAACAGTTAAGAGAACGGAGAATGCCAGGCTGCAACTTACAAGGAAATGAAAAAGGCTCATAATGGTATCATACTTGGAAAACCAATTTATAAGATAATATGTTTCTAAAGTGTAATTAATATTACACTTCATAAATTGTTTTCCTTCTGTATTTCCCAGGGCTTATTACATGACCATTTATTACTTTTAAAAAGGAAAAATGGCTCTTGCGGCCTCACCTCTGGGATGACAAAGAAAAGGAGGAACAACACCCGTGTCGAAAAGTACCGGGGCCATGCGCAGCCTATTCGCTGCACAGACTGCACCTGATGCACGCCCAAGGACAAGGCTATTAAGAAATCACCACCCGGGGGGGTGGGGGGGATGGCCATGCTGCAATCCCTTCTCCATTCTCTCAGGATTTTAGGCACATATGCACATGGAGTGAATTTTTTTTTTTTTTTTTTGGAGAGGTTTTTGCTATAGAGCGCATGCGCTTGTCAAAAAGACAGAGAGAGATAGAGAGACAGAAAGCGAGACCCCCCCCCCCCCCCCCCCCCCCCCAAGGGGATCTTTTCGCAGCAATCCCTTTTCCTCTATTCTCCTCTTGGGATCTTGGGCACGCACGCACATGCGCCCGGCGTGAGTTTAAGCCACTGGGTCTAGGATTCTAGGATTCAAACCGCTGTCAGCTACATGAGACTTTAGCAACATAGCCATTACACTAGCTGCTGGTCCCACATGGAGTGAATTTTAAGCCACCAGGTCCAGGACTCAAACCACGGTCGACTATGTAAAAGTACAGCAAGGTAATCATTATGCTATATACTGGTCACTCTATTTTCAATTTTTTAACTATAGAATCCTATTCTTACTACACTTTCTACTAATATTGCCTAATAAAATTAGACTCACAGGCATAAATGTCTTTGTTATCAATTCTAACAGGGTTAAAAAAAATCTTTCAATTGCTACAAGGAAGCATAAATTTGATTCTAACAATGTTTTTATAACCAGAAATATTGTGGAATCACAGATAATGATACAGTTTTTACATAATTAGTATTTTAAAGCCACCCGGTCTCTCATTAACAAAATAATAAACAAAAACCACCACCATCTAACTGCAAAATACTAGGAAAAAAATATTTTGGCTGAACTGTAACAGAAATGTTATAGTTATGTGCCTTCCTTCAATAAAATGTAAATTTTCTGATGAAATAGAGCTTCTCTGCTTTGTACACTGCTATAACCCTCACACCAAGAACAGCAGCCATCCAATGGAAGGCCTCTTGTGCAAGAATGCTAAGGAGTGGTACTATATTAGATAAGGCTTGTAAAGAAGTTCATCTAAAAAGCCAGACAGTATTTCTCACTGCAGGAAATCTGTGAAAAATCCTGTAATTTGAAAATGCTGCTATCTTGGGGACCAGCAGGTGGCATTATGATTAAGGTGCTGAACACTCCCACATGGCCGACCACAGTTCAAGTCCTGGACCTGGCAGCTTGCTGTCTCACTTTCCATCTCTCGCTCTCTCTGTCTGGTCACATATATTATATATATATATATATATATATATAAAATGAATGAATAAATAAAATTAAATAATTCTTCCCCCAAAATGCTATTTTTCTGAAAGACCCTAAATTTGTGATTTCTGGGAATTAAACATTTTAAGTGTTTTCTTTCTTTCTTTCTTTCTTTTTTTTTTTTTTTTAGAGGTTTTTGCCATAAGTCACATGCACTTGCCAGGGAGAAAAAGAGAGATAGTGAAAGGGAAACCAAGGAATCCCTCCTCCCCCGTCCCCCACCCCTAGGAGATGGCCACACTGCAATTCCTTCTCCTCCATTCTCTTCCTGGGATCCTGGCCACAAACACATGCACGTGCACCTGCATGATTTTCAAACTACCAAGTCTAGGACTCGAACCATGGTCAGCCATGGGGGAGTCCAGCAACATAATCACTATGCCAGCTGCTGGCCCCTTGAGTGTTTACCTGATTAAATAACTCACAATCAGTAGCTTAAAATGCTATTACCTTAATACTTAAACAAGTTTAATAAGTAAAAAATTCATTTTACTGTAATCTTTAAGCATATCTTAATTATAAGAAAATAATTTTTAAATAGTATTCTATGATAAATCATTTCTCTGGATGTTTCCCACTTGGTAAAACGCTATGAAGTTACCTTTCAGCACTGGTAGACTCCTCAGAAAATTCAGTATCTGCTGTACTTTTCCTACTATTATTTGACCTCCAAGATGAAGCCAAAGGAAGTTCTTCGGATGACATGGGCCGTGGCCTTTGGCCAATCCCGGATGGTTGCTGTAAACCTGCAGACTGTTCTTCAGTGCTTAAGACAGCTATAACTGCTCTTATGGTAGCTTCATCCACTTGAGACCAAGGTTTAGAGGGAGCTCTCATTCGGCGTAGAAATAAGTTATGCCACTTCTGTCGGAGCTGCAGCAATAAGCTGGCTGCCTGTAATAAAATAGTTTCCTTGGTTTAATAAACTTCACCGAAGTCTGTACCACATAGGCAAGATACCTATTTGTTTAGTAAATAATGACTGCAACTGTTTCAAGGAACATATTTTCTATTTCAATTAATTTACTATTAATTTTGGATTTTTTTTTTTTTTTGAGAGAGATTTTTTTGCTACAGGGAACATATGCTCGCCAGAGAGAGAGAGAGAGAAAGAGAAAGTGAGAAATCACCCCCGGGGGGGATGGCCACACCACAATACTTTCTCCATTCTCGTCTTGGGACTTTGGGCATGGGCACACACACATCCAGCCTGAGTTTTAAGCCACCAGGTCTAGGGCTCAAACTGTGGCAGACTACATGGGAATCAAGTGATTTAATTGTTACACTACCTGCTGATCCCTAATTTTGGATTTTTACTGCATGAATGAAATATAATTTCTCACCATATTCTAGGTACTAGAGGTAAAAGCAAATAAAAGCCTCTTAAGAGAGATAGTAAAAAATAATTGTGGTAGAGTGTAATTAATGCTGGAAAAATAGCAGCAGGGTTAAAAAGAACAATTTTAGTTCTATGCACACTATATTTTAGTGCCTGCACAACGCCCAACTAATGTCCAGAAGGCAGCTGAATACATAGAAAGGCCTAAGCTAGAGACATAAACTTGCAAGTCATCAGTGCACTAGAACTAAATTTACACATGGAAGTAAGGTCTCCAGGAACTGCCGGGAGAACGAGAACAGAGTAAGGCACAGAGTGCCAGAGAAATTTACATTTAAGACACAAAGATGGAAAACCAGTGAAATACCCTAAAAAGGAATGACTAAAGAGGAAGAACTAGGAACGATTAATGTCACAGTAACTAATGACAAAGAAGCTGGGGCAGGAACGAGGAAAAACAGGGAAGGGCAAGGTTACAAACAGGAGAGTAAGGACGGTAGTGCCGAACATTAGAGGGTCCCATTTATCGAGGACGGCAAACGGCTTCAACAACGTGGAGAACACGGCGGACCTCGGCAAGTGCAACATCAACACAATGGATTGGTGGGTATGGAAGTGAGACTGCAGCAGGCTCAAGTACAAATGAATGGGTGGGAAAAGAGAAAACGCAGTCAACGTCAACTACTGACAGCTTGACTCCTTTTAGAAATGAATGCAGAATGATCTTTAAAAGCAGAGATGGGGTCAGCAGGTAGCATAGGGGTTAAGGTGCTTGATTCCTACATGGCCGACTGCAAATCAATTCCCAGACCTGGCAGCTTGAAAACTCACACCAGCTGCTTGTGCATGCGTGCCCAAACTCCTAGGAGATAGGACTGAAGCATGGCCATCCCCTCTAGGAGATAGTGTCTCACTTTCCTTCTCTCTGCCTTCTCAGGCAACCACACACACCCTATGACGCCACCCCCCCCCCAAAAAAAAAGGCAGAGATGGAATTGAGGGAAGGCTTTGTTGAAAAACCGTCTAATCTGAAGAAACGCTTGGCCTGCCTGCAGCAGCGCAAGCAGTAGTGCACCGCTCTGCAATGCTGGAGCCATGAGGAAGACTGCAGCTCAGAAAACAGGTCAACCTGGGCCGTGTCGGCATCCACCCACGATCCAGTTCCACTGGAATGCCTAATTTTTCCTCTCAAGAAAAGAAAAGAAGAAGAAATATTTCATCCCTTCCAATTCAGGATTACATGAAAGGGAAAACAGAGTAAGTGTGTATCTTTCTCTCAGAAACAGTCACACGAAATAAAGGGAGCTCTAGTGTACTCCACACTCGTGTTTTCTTATCCAGTCCCAGGGTGCCCTGTGACTGCAACAGAGCTGAGAAACCCATGGCTCAGGGGTAGTGCAGCCACTGCTACGTTACACATTATTCATGCATCTGTGGTGACGCCTGTGCAAACAGACCTACGTCAGCAGCACCGGTATGAGGTATAGCGGGTGTAATCACACACAGCACATCCTAGTTGATAATGATAATAAACGACTACGCGCGTTTATGTATTTACTATACCATATGTTCTATTGCTGTTTTATCGTATACTCCTGATACAAGAAAAAAGTTCACCACAGGGCCAACCGAATGATGTGACGGTTAAGGCAGCTGGATCCCACACTGCCACCTGTGCAGTTCAAGTCCCAGACCTGGCAGCTTTAAAAGCACCCCAAGCACGTGTGCATGTGTGCTCAAAATCCAGAAACATCAAGGACTGCAGCGTGATCACTCTTCTGGGTAGTGATTCATTACTCACTCACTCTCTGCCTGTCTCTGGAGCACACACTCACCCTGTAAATTAAGTAAGAAAGAAAAAGTGAAGTGCAAACGGTGCACTGTGTTAACCAGCAGCAGCCCGACAGGCCACATGCTTACTGCTTGTCCTGACTGCATCGCTTCCTCCTTCTCGGACTGACTCTCCGTGTCGTTCACCACGGTCCTTCTGTAGGATCAGGTATCAAAGTGGAAGACGATGACATTGACAGCTCTGACTGCATAGACCTAGATTAATCTCTGTGTTTATGTCTAAGTTTTTAAGAAAAAAGTTTAAAAAGTGAAAAAAAAAATTTAAAAATAGAAAAAAGCTGGGGCACTCGGGTGGTGTGGTGGTTAAAGTAGCTGGTTTCCACATGGCCAAGTGCATGGTTTAAGTCGCAGACCTAAACCGGCTTGAAAAACACACCAGGTGCGTACCCAAAATCTGAGAGGATAATGGAGGAGAAAGGATGATGGCATGGCCATCCTCCTGAGGGGGTGTTTTTCCACTTTTCTTCTCTCTCTTTCTCTCTCTGTGTCTCTCTGAAGAGTGTACATGCCCTATAACAAAAACTAAAAAAAAAAAAAAAAAAAACTTATAGACTAAGATATAAGGTAATATTTTTACACAACTGTATGTGTCTGTGTTATAAACTAAGTGATATCATAAAAGGGCCAAAAACATTTTAAAAGTTAAAACTTTATATGGGACCAGCAGTTAGCTTAACGGCTAATGTCGCTGGACTCCCATGTAGTCAACCGCGGTTCGCGTCCTGGACCCAGTGGCTTAAAACTCATGCCAGGAGCGTGTGCGTGCGTGCCCAAGATCCTGAGAGAAGAATGGAGGAGAAGGGATTGCGGTGTGGCCATCCCCCCTGGCGGGTGATTTCTCGCTTTCTGTCTGTCTGTCTGGAGAGCACACGCACCCTATAGCAAAAATCTCTTAAAAAAAAAAAAAAACTTTATAAAGTAAAATAGTTACAGTAAGCCAGGGCTAATTTATTATTGAAGAAATTGTTTCATAAATTCACTGCAGTCAACAGTGGTATACGGCAATGCCCCAGGCCCTCAGGTTCATGCACCACTCACTGCCACTGACCCACCCAAAGCAACATCCAGTGCCGCAAGCTCCATCGTGGTACGTGACCTACACAAGTGTACTATTTCTACCCTTTGTAATGAACCCTTATGTACTTATTCTATGTTTCGATAAGTTGACACACACAGTATTTGCTACCAAGTTGTAATTGCCTCCAGTGTTCATTACAGTAAGATGCTGAGCAGATCTACAACCTAGGGGCACGAGGCTTTATCATACAGGTTTACCTTAGCACACGATGATGTTCTGACAAGGAAATCACCTAACGAGGGAGTTCTCAAAATACACCTGCCTGTCATTAAGCGACACATGACTATACATCCAAAAATACTCAAATATTACTGCTATGGCTTGTCACTTCCAAAAATTCAGTTGAAAATGAAGTTGAAACTTAAGGGCCAACACAACAGGACAGGGAGGAGTGTGAGGCCCTCCCAGCCTCCAGAACTCTGAGAAATAAATTTCTGTTTTCATAAATTATCCAGTCGTGATATTCTGTTATAGCAATATAAATAGACTAAAATAATTACTTTGGTTAAAAACTAAGCCACACCTAGGTTTTTTTGTTTTTTTTTTTTTTTTCAAATTCTCTATTAGAATAAACTCTGAAACAGCAGAGAACGCACAGGAGACTGAAAACCAAGCTGTGATCTCTAACACTATGAGTTCAGTACTGAAGACAACATTTTTAGCATACTCTATCAGTTCACAGTAACTGAAAGAAACAACTTACCTCTGGTTCTAATTTGAAACTGAGCCATTCGTCAAGTTTCAAAGATGCCAAATTAGCAGTAGTTCTGTCCTCCATCTCACTGTCACTACTGTCATTCGGAATGCCATCCGCTGTCCCAACACATAATGAAAACAATCAGTTACCATCACAGACGCTCTATGTACACGAATCCTCTGATACACTAGCAATTTGTGTAGAAGTTCTCCAAACTGAAAATATCACAAATTCAATCTCAAATTTAAAAGGAAGAAAAAAAGACATTTTAAATAACACAATGTCTAACTACAATGCAATAAAATTTAAAAGACAAAAACTTAAAAACTGAAGCAAAGTTTTTAAATAATAGCTGGATGGAAAAGAAATGAAGAATGTAAGTAAAGAACAGTAATATTTAAGCACATTCACAGGTTTCAATTTTTTTTTTTTTTTTGGAGAGGTTTTTGCTATAAGGTGCATGCACTCGCCAGAAAGACAGAGAGACAGAGAGACAGAAAGCGAGAAATCACCCCCCAGGGGGGATGGCCATACTGCAATCCCTTCTCCTCCATTCTCTTCTCGGGATCTTGGGCATGCACGCACACACACCTGGCGTGAGATTTTTTTTTTTTTTTTTGAGAGGTTTTCGCTTAAAGGCGGGGGGGCTCGCCCGAAACAG